CTTGCAGTCGAAACCGGGCAACGAAATGGCAGGCATTGAAGGCAGGACACAATTGCTCCAACGGCTAGCAAATGCCCTGACCGAAAAGAGGGAATACTTTGGCGACAGCGGACGGCCAGGTCACATGGTTGGTAAGTTGACAACTCTCCGAGTCTGGTGGAAATGAGGTGCCAGGACTGAATTGACCCGCCTCAGACTACCTCCTATCGCATCCCTCGACTCAAGCTTCTTCGATGCCCATTGTGATTCTCCCTACATTGTGGAATCTCCTGATGAACGGCCTCATGCCCATCTGGCCAGCTTCCCGCACCTCGATTAATGGCGTATCTCTCGGCGATGCCTGGCCTTGCCAATCAATGCCGCAACCACCGCAGAGTCCGACGACTTCACAATTCTCACCATTCCCGCCGTCTGCCCAGAACTCGACCGCGGCATGGGAGTCTATTCTGCCGTTCCACAAGCTTACACAGTGGCTCTGCTATAGTCTGATGCAGCCTATGCAGTCACTACTTCGCATCCATTTTGCTGGCGTTGAACTCCTCACCGGCCTGCCTGAGTACCGCAACGGCGGTTTGTTCATCGACTTGGGAGTTCTTACGCTAAAGGCAGGCGATTCCGAGAGAGGCCTCGAGCACTACGACGAGTACTGCAGAAGGACAAACGTCAAGCCAGTTGAAGTTGCACCAATGTTTGAGCCTAGCGACGACGTGATAGTCGAGTGGCGTGGTGTCACGGTCGGCTTCCTGGATAGGCTTTGCGCAGAAGTCAACAAGCACATGAAGAACGACCTGAAGGGCAATCAGTTGACTCTCGCGCAAATACTCGAAGCCGGAAGCTGGAAGGTAAGCTCGCCCGAACTGTTAGATTTTCGAATGTGTCGCTAATACAATCTTCCAGGGAGGTCGTGAGATGGCAGAGTTTAGCAGACCCAACACGAAAGAACCGCCAATTTTGATCGATAGCGACGGTACTGTTTTCTAGACTGTGGTTCATGTTTGAGATGGAAGCATTGGACCGAGTCATTATACCTTTTCTGCCATTGATTAGACGACAGCGCCGATATGCATTGGATGATGGGCTTGCATGCCCACAGTGGATGAATGGCGCATTGTATGATGGGGATCGGATGGCGGCTTATGCGCCTTAATGAACATGACTTGGCTGGACGCCAGCGAGGAAGATTAATGCAATGCGAAGACCTCGGCGTAAAGCCTTGCTCGCCATTCAACCGCTCATATGGATAAATTGCCTGCCGAGTGTGGAATGCTTGGTGAGAGAACTGTTCCTTTTCACCGTCCCATGCTCAGACTTCCATTCGCGGTCCGGTTCTCGGCCCCGCGTCGGAGCCCCACAGGCGGACCCACACACTTTAGCTGCCTATTCTGCTCACGGGCCCGGCGCTGTGCCATTGTATCAACGTTTATCTATCAGTCATACCCGTCAGTTTTCACCGGAGTTTGACTGTCCAACTGCGCAAGGCACGGGGAGTTGACACGTGGGCATAGGAAAACTCTCTTCCAAGAGCGCCAAGGTAACTTATCATCCATGCCCTTGAAAGACCATCATTGACCCCGCGCAGGATCAAATTTGCATCTACGCCCGCCAGCACCGGGAATCTGCCCACCTGCATCTCCGTCGCCGAGCAGAAGGCATGGCAATCTTTCCGCAGTTCGGGCCGGATCCCGAGACTTCACTGCTTCAGCAATGCCAGTTCATCATCCACCGCATCACGGTTCTACTTGATGAGCTTGAGCAGCTCAAGGCCGCCATCGAGAGGCGGCCAGCTTCGGGGCATAAACCTGTGGCGTGGAACCAGGCTGTTCCGGGGCTTGGGTTCTTTGAACGGCTTATTGTTTCTGAGAAGAAGCATCTTGAGAAGATGGTGGCGGCGTATGATGGTGATGGTGGCGAGGAGGAAGGAGTTGATACCGAGGCGCTGGATAGTCGGATCCGGTTGAGGCTCGATGCGTCGAATTACAAGTTTTATGAGAGTGTGTGGGAGGTTACGAAGAGGTGCTGCGAGCTTACGGGGATGAGGAGGGACTTGAGCTACAAGACTGTTGGCGGGAAGAGCGTGAGCGCCGTGATTGATTTAGTCGTGAATGGCGGCGCGGACTGGGTCAAAGTCGTGACGACGACGGAGCGGAGGCTGTTTTACGAGATGGCGGACGCCGGATGGGACTGGGAGGAGGATTTCGAGGCTGAGGGCGCGGACGAGGCCATGTTGGAGATTTTGAGGGACGAGACGGAGGATAGTATCGAGGTCGCCAAGGTCGCGAGGCACATGGTTGCCGCGGCGAGGACGTCGTATCAGGATTATCGAAGGCCAAGGGTAAGGATACTCATGTCGAGAGTATCTGAGGGGGAGAATGACGCCGTGGATCATTTGTTGAGGTTGGTGCGGAAGATGGGCGGCGGGGACGTGGATCTTGTGGTTGAGACTGCGAACGGGCCCGGGATCTTGACGGAGGCGACACCGCCGTTGGAGGAGGCGATTGCGAATCTTGTGGAGGCGGATTATTACAAGGATTTCACGGCGACGGTGAATGTGGATTGTTCGGTGTTTATGGCGTTGGCGTCGGATTTCAGTCACATGGCTATTGGACCGGACTCGGAGCTGTTGAGATCGAAGCAGCACCGGATCGACGCGACGGATGAGGTTGAGAATGGGCCGCGGTTGGTGAATACGTTGTATCCTGCTATCACCGGCCGGACGCTGGTGTGTACGAGGGAGGCGGCGGATACGTTTCTCAAGATCGTGGGGGATATTGGGACGGAAGAGGAGAAGGCTAGGACGAGGATATTGTTTGAGAAGGGCGAGGTTGCCGAGGCAGAGGAGACAGATCGAGATCGCGCGCGGCGAGTGAGGTTGCTCCAGGAACTCTCTGTCTACCCTGTCCCCGAGGATCTACGCCTCCCCGTGCAGATCGTTGATTCTGTCTCATGGGATGATGCGCAGCGAATGGTAGCGGAGGGTCAACTCCCCGCCGTCGCGCTGGCCGTCGGGAAAAAGGGGTCCGGGCTGAACGCCATGAACGTTTCGTCGTTCCTGTACGGGTGGAAGGCGAAGCTGACGACGGTGACGTCGAACTGGGAGGCGGCCAAGAGGCTGAGGACCGTGATTGAGACGAACCGGGTGACGGGGACGGAGGTCGGGCCGCATATTTGGCGGATACCGTTTTCGAGAAAGTTGCTTGCGAAGCCCAAGGTGATGCCGCCTGGTGGTGGCGAGAAGAAGGATGGGGAGGGGTGGAGGTTGAAGACGAGGCAGGAGAGGAAGGTTGAGAAGGAGGCGAGCTTGCAGAGTTGGATCTCGAGTGAGGGGACGGAGACGGTTGCGAGGATGACGATAGACGATGGCAAATGAGGTTCAATATTCTGTGGAGTTATTCATCCAGCACAACCGCCCTCGATATCAATACCAACGTCAACGTTATTATCGTTCAATTTACGGGCCCCAAAACGACGCCGCAATCGGGATACTTGATCCTCACCTCCGTCGTAAATACCTCTCCCACGTCAACCTCACCAAACCTCGTCAACAGCACCTCCTCGCAGTGCCTAGTATGATGATAACTCCAAATATAACTATCAACCCTCTCCAACCCACCACCGCCTCCTCCCTCCCCACCGCGACTCTGCATCAGCGCGCGGTGCATCCGCCTCCACATGGCCGTACAATGCCGAAGATGGTATCCCAAGCTGACATACACGCCGCTATACTCCCCCGTCATAATCTGCTCCCTCGTCAACGACGGCGCCGTACGGTTCGCGTCCGTGAACCAGGCGAGTTGTCCCGCTTCCACGAGCTCCGCTTCAAAGGTTTCGGCGAGGGCGGCGTCGTGGCATTGCGGCGGGAGCCAGTTGAAGGATATGAGGTCGAATTCGCAGCCTGCGGCGCGGGCTTGGGCTGGTGTTGAACCGCAGGGGGCGGTTTGGAGGTAGGTTACTGGGCGGGAGGAGGGGTCGTTGGGGGAGGCGAGGGTGTTGTCGTTTCTGTGGGAGGTGTTGAGGGTGCGGAGACGGGTTGTGAGGATTGTTGTTACCAGGGCTGAGAGGGCGGCGCCTAGGAGGAGGGTTGTGGTGAGGAGGAGGGCGAGGCGGGTGTAGGTTGTTGTGATGCTTCGTCGGTTCGGCCGAGGTTGGTGATGTTTTTGGTATGAGGGTTTGGTGTCGTGGGAGGAGAGGAGGGACTGCGACGCTTCTTCGGAGTGGTTGGATGTTGCTTCGAGGGGCAGATTCGCATCATCGTCGTCTTCTTCGGCGCTTCGAGCTTTCTCCCAGGCAGATTGCCGTGGTGTTGATGCGCTCCGATGCTCCATCGAGTTACATCCGCCAGAGTCTGAGATCCGTCCCTGTCGTTACAGCAGTCCGGAAAATTGACAGCAGCGACCTCAAAGGGTGGCGGGGGTCAGCATTCAAGTAACATTCGCGAAATCTTGAACAAAGGATTCCTCGTGCATGGTGGCGGCGAATTGTTTGGTTGGTGGTGCTGATGACCTTCCTTTCTTGGTGTATCCTGACTGCAAACCGAATCCTCCAACACCTGCTCGCTGATTGCGTCAGCCGACGGATACGAGATGATTCTCGAGTTTCGATCGTTGGTCTCTCAAGTATTTAAACCTTCTCCAGTTGAATTTCATTTTCCTTACCACAGCTGGTGTATCGTATTCTGTGGCGGTGAGGCTGGCGCCCAATAACAATGAACAACCAAGCTCGCTTGCATAATGTACTTACCCCGGTTTGCCCCTGTTGCGGCTGAACGAATAATTTGGCACGGGATTGGGGAAGATGCGGACAGCTTTGATTCTACTGCGTGGCTGGACCCTCACAGCCTGATTTGTGTCTATGACCGGTTTCTACTTTCATCTCCTCGTCACTTCTGCCTTCTGGGTCTGCTGCCCTCATAATTCACCACAGACCTAGGAAATACAACCAAGTCTCAACCGTACTGCGTATAGACCCTTGGCGACAGACGGAGTCATAATCGATCGTTCACGATGGATGGCAAGCGCCCAGCGCCCGATGACGCTCAATATGGCTCTTCTGGCGCACTTAAATGGCAACGAACTCTCCTTGACAACTGGGATGGCGAGAGACGACGTCCCACCGATGGCATACCGCAAGAGTATCACCGCTACGCAATCGCCTGGATCTGCGCGTTGCCCATAGAGCTAGTAGCTGCGGAAGCCATGCTAGACGAGAAGCACGACGTCCTCCCTTCTTACGCTCCTTGTGGTAACGCCTACACGGTCGACACTAATATCTACACTTTGGGAAGCATATGGGGCCATAACGTTGTCATCGCATGCTTGCCGGCGTATCAATATGGTACAAATAATGCGGCGAATGTGACGACTCACCTTGTCCGTACTTTTCCCTCAATCCAATTAGCACTTATGGTAGGCATCGGAGGTGGTGTGCCTAGCAGTGCTAGAGATATTCGGTTGGGAGACGTTGTTGTTGGTGTTAGAACAATGCAATATGATCTTGGGAAGATCGTTGCAGCTGCTGAAATTCAACGCACTGCAATTGCCAGGACTCTTCACCAATCCTTCGGAAAAGCCATCACAGTCTTGCGTGCTAGACATGACCGAGAACCCAGTCAAGTATATTCGATCCTCACGGAAAAGTTTGCAAACCTTCCGCACTACGGTCGCCCAACGGTGCCTGATCACCTTTTCCTTTCAACGTACGACCATCCGGAGTCAACAACTACGTGTGACGACTGCGACCCAACGAAACGTATGCCTCGACGCGCGCGGTTGAAAGACAACCCTGTCATTCATTATGGAGCGATAGCATCTGGCAATCAAGTTATGAAGAATGCCGTCGAAAGAGACCTTGCTGCTCGTACTCTGGATATAATTTGTTTCGAAATGGAGGCAGCTGGAATCATAGACATTGTTCCCTGCCTACCAATACGCGGAATCTGCGACTATGCAGATTCTCACAAAAATAAGGCCTGGCAGAGGCACGCCGCAGCTATAGCGGCAGCCTACGCCAGAGAATTGCTTTCTGTAATTCCCTCAGCTGAATCCGGTACACAATCTATCTCGTGCCTGGGCCCTTGTATGTATACAAAATATGTTATTTGACATTTACATCGCATTGCTGACCGCTATTTACAGCACAAATACAGCTTAATCTATACCAAAGACAGGCTCAGCTGGTGGAAGCTCTGAAGTTTGATCAGATGGACTCCCGTCAATCAACTGTGAAGAAGGCACATATCAAGACATGCACATGGTTTATCAGACATCTAGACTACCAACGATGGCTTAAAAGAGAAGAATTCAGGCAACATCACGGGTTACTATGGATTCGTGGTAAGCCAGGCGCTGGAAAGTCGACAATCATGAAATTCGCCTTGTCCGAAATGCAGAAAGACCCTGATTGGTCCCCACTCGCGGTTTCGTTCTTCTTCAATGCCAGAGGCGAATATTTGGAAAGATCAAATGAAGGGATGTACCGTTCTTTGCTATTTCAGCTGTTTCAGGGGTACCCTCAGCTTCGACATGTACTTGGCGACTTGCGCTCAACTCAGCAGAAGGATGAGAGATGTCCCAGCTTGGACACTCTCAAGGATCTGTTCTCTAGGGCCGTCCTTGCGCTTGGCCAGCGTCGACTAACTTGCTTTATCGATGCTCTGGACGAATGCGACGAGCAACAAATGATGGACATGGTCCGAGATTTTGAGGACTTGGCAGAAGAGGCGTCAACGAAAGGTATTGCCTTTCGGATTTGTTTGTCGAGTCGACATTATCCATATATCGTCATCAAAAAGGGACTGGCATTGATACTCGAAAATCAGTCGGGCCACACACAAGATATGAAAAGATACATTCAAAGTCGTCTCCGATTTGATGATCCCACCCTCGCCGAAGATCTGCAAGCCGAACTTCTCGAAAAGGCTGCCGGGGTGTTTCTCTGGCTCGTCTTGGTTGTTGATATCCTCAATACCGAGTACTCCCAGGGCGGACTGGCCTTGAAGAAAAGGCTCATCGAGATCCCGAACGACCTGGGCACCTTGTTCAGGGATATTCTCACGCGTGATCGTAAGAACATGGAACACCTGTGCTTGTGCATCATCTGGATTCTCTGCGCCAAGCGGCCGTTACGACCCAGCGAGTTCTGTCATGCACTCTGGTCTGGTCTATCTCAGAACGGCCTTGTTGATCCAAATCTACCAGTGGTCACCGAACACAGCGCTAGGAGATGTGTCATCGGTTTCTCCAAGGGACTGGCAGATGTCACCGAATCTATGCAGCCAACGGTCCAGTTCATACACGAGTCTGTCAGAGACTATCTTCTAAAAGGCGGGGTACTTCCTGAACTCTGGCCTGACTTAGGCTTTGATTGGGAGCTCCTTAGCCATGAGAAATTGAAACTCTGCTGCAGCGCGTATATAAATCATTACTTAGCGTCCGGACATGTTTTCAAAGAATGCGATACGACACAGTTTCCATTCATGGAATATGCAAGCCAGCAGATTCTCCTCCATGCCGATGCTGCAGCCGCTGGCATTTCCCAACACCAGTTTCTGTCTAAATTCCCCCTCAAAGAATGGATTTCGATCTTCAATTGCTATGAGAAGGTTGAGATCCGTCACTATACGTATCAAGCCAGCTTATATTACATATGCTCAGTAATGGACTGCTCGACGCTCATTCCCATGATACAAGGCGGAGGTTGGCAATGCCGTTCTGCGGACCGGTACAACTATCCGCTGTTTGCTGCCTTGGCTCATGGGAATAGCAAATCGGTCGCCGCCCTCTTCGGAATGACCTCAATCATCTACGAAGGAATGGACATCATGGAAGGCTTGCCACCCAGGGGAGACTTTTTTAACTTCGAACTAAGAACACCACTGTCTTGGGCTGCACAAGGCGGTCGGCTCGGGATGGTCACGCTTCTTCTCCGAGCTAAGAATAATGTGAATGAGCCTGACCAGGAAGGGTTCACCCCACTGCATCGGGCTGCAGGACATGGCCATAAACCGGTTGCAAAGCTTCTCGTAGACAACGGGGCGGATGTCGACGCCGTGGACAAATATATGCGTACACCTCTGTTTCTTGCTGTTACGCAAGGCCGGGAAGCGACAGTGAAGACTCTAATTGAGCACACCGCGGACACCAACGCCAGGAGCGACAAACACTTCTCTACACCGTTGTACGAAGCTTCAAGGGCAGGCTACAAGATTGACCCACCGGAAGCAATTGTCAAAGTTATAATCGAAAACGAAGCAGAAGTCAACTCCAAGCACGGAAATTGTGACACAGCACTACACGTGGCTTCTAGTGTAGGCGATAAGAGGATCACCAAAAGTCTTGTCGAGAACGGCGCAGATGTCAACGCTATTAATGAAGTCAAGAGGACTGCACTGCATTGTGTTTGCAACGGGAATGCGACAGAGGGTGATCTCCATGAAGACAAGGCCTCACGTGCCCTCCCCATCTTCGATGCGCATGGTGGCCACCATACAGCACTCCCAAAAGTCGATCAGGTCATCACCAACCTTCTCATCGACGATGGACCAGATGCCAATCACAGCATCCACAGAGACAACGCAGCATTAAAACTTTCTTCGTCATTCACTCATGAAAAGATCGTTCGACTTCTTATGGAGAATGGAGCATTTGGACAAGCAATTGACAACCGTCAAACGATGCGTATGCACCCAAAGCTGATACGTCCGCACTATGCTACTGCCCAATTCCTCCTTGACAACCAGGCAGCTCTTAATGTATTTGACATCAATGGCGACACTCCATTGACATTTGCTGTGTACGGTCGCGATAGAGAACTACTCCAGCTGCTCCTTGAACATGGAGCAGAGGTTGACCTCACAGGAGGCAGTCACACACCATTGCTTATAGCCATACGAATTCGACAAGAAGACATGGTTGTGGATCTTATAAAGCATGGTGCAAACGTAACGTTCTCAGATTACACTGGAATGACGCCACTTTCGGCAGCAAGGGAGGTCGGATGCAGTGCTTGGCTGATCAGGCTTCTTGAAAGGCTAAGCGATATCTGATGGATTTCTAAGAAGATATCAAGTGGAAACCATGAGAATAAGGGGATTACTTTGTCTTATAGCAAGTATCGCAAAATTTTGAAGCGGAAAAATGAGAAATTACCAAGAGACACGTACGATAAACGTCAGCAGTATGCCTAAGACGGAATGGTTAGTCCGTGGCCGTTGTACCGTACATGGAGCAAACTTACTCCATCTATGATGTACGCTGAAGTCTCAACTCCGTGTTGCTTGAATAGATGACGACGACGGTAGAATAACCCGGCCGTAGAGTCATTTCTGAATACAGGATGAGGCATATGGGCAGAAAGGCCTTTCTTGCTTCGGTTCTATCAAGGGTCTATTAGAAACCCTGCGAATAACCGATCCTTGATGAGAAAAGGAGCCCGTGTCTGTTTATAGTCATTGTTCTATGGAGAGATGTTACTGTTATGTGCTTGGGGTCTTTCCACGTGTGTTGATAAGATACTTGACGGTCTTCAACGGCATCTTACTCCATCAGCTCGGCACCGATTCAGTTATGGATCAGGTTCAAAGCAGCAATCGATAGGCAACGAATAGTGCGATAGAAAGAATCGCCGACCAGCATAGGACCAGAGTCATGCAGAGGTTGTTGAGACAACGGCAAATTTTATCATTGAGAAGTATCTCCATTTTCCACGTCATTCACTTGTTGACTCATTCGCCTTTCTACAGTCTTTTTCATCATCATGCATTCGTGTAGTTCCCTTATGACACTTGAAGCAGAGCGTTGGCCCAGAAATATCGCATCGAACTGAGCCAAGATGTCTGGGTAGCCCGTGAGACACTCCCTCGCTTCCCAAAGTAACCTTTCAGCTAAATCAGGCTCTGAGGTACGTTCTAGCATCTCCGCGATCAACGTATTGTATCTCCTTTGGTTCGGTTCGTCAACGTGTTCCTAAAACCAGTCAGGATAAGGCCAATCTTTCAGTAAGGGTTGATGCTGGAAGCGATCCTCGTATCAAGAACAAGGTTGGATGCAGGACATGTGAGGACTTGACAAAGTGTTACCTGAATATCATAAGTCAAATGGATGGTAGGCTCAAGAACGGCCCCCTTGAAGTCAATCTGAGGATAAAGATTTTGGACGTCTTCGTTTTTCTTGACGGACTCGGCTATCATTTCTTCCCGGCTTTTCCCATCCGTGTCCATTTGCGATATGATGGACTCCATTGAAGGATTCACCTTGTTTTCCACGTTCGTTCGGTTTGGGTCCAGTTCATATGTGTTGTGGATTTGACGACTGAAAACGGATGCTTGCGGCGAAGCAGAGAGCAACGTTGGTTGCTGAGAGACTGGCCGAGGCAATTGAGGAATCAATCGGAAGAATGGGCTGCGGGGGGAGAACCTAGGCCTTATGTGTCATTAGTGTGGCGGGAAAAGAGGCGTGATCAGCGGGTTACACGGGTTGGCTGCACAGTTGAACCGCAGGACCGTGGCGTGAGCGAATGAAGTCACAGTCAGGCACCCTATTGGTGCGACCTGCATATTCTGCCTGTACTAAACACTATGATGCGCTTTGGTGGCTTGGCGGTTTGATGCTTCTTTCAGGTGTCGAAGAAAATAGTTTGATGAAAAGGGCTGCATCTTCCAGTAGGCGCCTGTGTGTGGCTGTGTACGCTTCCACTTGAATAAAAAGCGAATTTTCACCGATGGGTTCACCAAAAATTTAGCTGATCATCAAATGCGTGAAGGCTTCTGGTCGATGCTCAGAATTGCGAAACTCGACTGAAGGTATTGAGAGAACTATTACGAGAAGAGACAAGCCACTAATTCCACTGAGATATGAGTGGCGATAATCAGCGACTTGTGTTCAACTCTCGATGATCTAGGTTCCTTCCTTGTCTTGATCAAATTAACGTGCCAGGGTAGATCTCAGCATTTTGTAGGTCGCGAAGGCCTCGCTGGTCTCTTGGCACCCTTCTTCCTATCCGCCTCGCTCGGTTCTGCGGGCTCAGCTGGCTCCTCACACTCTCGTGGTCGGACAACGGGGTTGAGTATGTCTTCTGGCGCGATGGCGTTGTGTGTTTCGGCCCGACTGTCGAGACTCGATGGCAGTCTCAAAGGGATGCTCAGAGCAAGGCCGCTCGAGACGAGGGTTGCAAGGAGAAAGAAAGATGTTGTCTTCATGTTTACTTGAAAGTGGGTTTACTTGGATGTTTGACTGCTGAGAAAACCGTGCCCTTTTCGGAAGTAGAAGCTGGAAATAGGTGACTAAATGTGGTACTGCACAGTCAAGCTTAGAAATGGGAACACTGAAGTTTAAGTAAGAATTGTCAATTAGTTCCGAAGCTACTTAATCTTTTCGTTATAGGCGGCCTTCCGCGTGGGATAAGGACGAACTCGGAGCAGACCGAGTGTTGGCTGACTCGGTCAAGCGAGGCAAAGCCCTACAGATATTAATGCGATGAGTGTCGTTCGTCAGTCGGACCCATCTGGTGGCCTTTTTATAGTTCGGCTGAAGTTTCATGTTCGCGAATATGGGTCCCGCAACCTCCAATGTTGGCGCAGTGAATGATAGAGTTGGCATTCGCTTGCTTAATGGATTCATTATACCCCGGAATTGATGATCACAAGCGGGGTTCCCAATGACTTCCATGGAGGGGGCGACTCGCTCTCGGGCCACAGCTTTTGGACAAGGGATGTTCCAAGGCCCGTATCAAAAGGCTCAAGGAACCGAACTTGTTGCCCGGCCTTGCAATCTCATGAGTGACAATCTCTTGACGAAAGTCCTTACATCTTTCTCACCGTGTACCTGGAGGATTGAGGGAATTGCCCATGGCAAAGCGCTTGCATCAATATTCCATCTTCAACTATTATACACTAGAATTAATAACATGTACTGGTCTTCCATCCAAATATCTACTTTTATGTGCCCCTTGAACCTTTCGTTTGTAAACTTCAATGAAGTGTAATGCTCTACTCAGTGAAGACCTTCAGCTCAACCAGACGGACGCGCTTGCCATCTTGAGGCTTCACGAGAATGCGGAGAGATTGGGTAGACACTCCAGTCCACTTCGCATTGGTAATACCGTTGGCCAACGGCGCATCGTACGTCGCATCAGCCACATCGGTCCATTCACCGCTCAAAACCTGCAACTTGTAGCTGGCGGGCACATCGAATCCCTTCTCTTCATTCGCGAAGAAAGCAATCTCAGCTCGGGCAGCCTCAACAGCGGATCCGAACTCGATGCTGACCCATTCCTCGGCGGTGCTGCCCTCGGGAGTATCGAAACCGTTGGCGATGGTGTCCTGGGTCCAGAACCAGATGCGACCGTCGAATACATCGTGGACACGGTTGATGTCGTAGTTGGGGACGGAGGCGTTGATGATGGGCAGGGGCTCGGTAGCCTGGAGCTGGACGGACTGGTCAAAGGGACGCGCGACGGAGACTGGCGCGCGTGTGACCTCGGCGGTAAGTCTCTCGAGCTTGTCGGAAGAGGCGACGACTTGTCCATCAACTTCAACTCGGAGACCTGCTTCGCCGTAGCGCTCGCCAGTAGCGTCCCATTGAACGGCAACTTCACGGCCGTGGTAGAGGATACGCTCCGCGCGGAAGTAAGAGATGGAGGAGGGGTCGGCCAGAGGGTTGACCTCAAGCACGTCGTCCTCGCGGGGACGAATGCCGACGAAACCGGTGACAATGAGATCAACGTAACCAGAGTGGAAGTAGTGGTGCGAACGTCCAAGGCCAACAATCGGTTCACCGGTGTCAGGGTCGTAGTTCTCCTCAATATCCAGGATGTTGCCGTAGTGCTTGTTGTAGTGCTGGTTGGCGTACTGCTTCAGAAGGCGAGTGTAGTCTCCGACAGTGACGTGGGCCGAAGTGTTGGGGTAGTGGTCGAGAACGTTAGCAAGGGAAGTCAAGACTTGGGTTGTCTGATACGGCCAAGAGGGACCGTTCCAGTGGCACTCGGTGTGAGTGCCCTCGTATCTCCAAACACGCATGTAGTACTCGTACGAAGGCTCAACAGTGCGCAGGCCAAAGGGACCACCGAGCTCCTCGGAGTTCAGCGCGTGCTTCCATGCCTCACCAAACTTGGCATCATCATCCAGCAGGTCGTGGGCCCAAGGAACGAAACCAGCGAGCTCACGGCCGCGGATGAAGTCCCAGTAGGTGACATTCTCGTTGTTAACTTGGTACCGATCGATGAAGTGCTCGAAGGTCGAGTTCCACAAATCCCTCTGGAGGGTGTCCTTGATGTTCTGGGCACGAGTGTTGTATTCCTCAACAACGCTGTCCAGGCCGCCCTTGAGAGCAGCAGTCTTGGCAATCGCACGAGCATTGGCGTACTGGTAGGTGTTGATGGTGGGGCGAAATGCTTGGCCTCCGAAGAAACCATCGTAGCCGCCGGAGGCATCGATACTCGAGATGGTGTACTCCGTCGCGTCGGCAATCGGCTCGATCCAGAAGAGTCCCTTGGCCTCGTCAAAGTGGTCTCCCACCCACTGGTTGTAGACCCGTTGCATATCGTCGAGGAGAGAAATGGCGAGGGCCGGGTCGCCGTCAACCAGATAATTCCTCCAGACGCCGTCTGCTAAGCTCTCGGAGTATTGGCGGGGGTTGCTGTCCGCGCTGTACATGAAGGTCGCGTGATCCTGCTTGAAGCGCGGGTCGCGGCACCATCGGCCCTCGGACAGGTGGAAGATGGCGGCGCAATTGTTGGAGGCCCATGGCTGCGTCTGCCAGCTGACGTTGTCGATGAACTCAGTGGTAATGTAGCCGTACTTGGTGCCGACATCGCGCTGGTGAGTTCGGAAGAGGTTCCAGCGGTAGTAGTAGACGTCGGTGATCTCCGTATCGCTCGACTCAAAAAGAGGGATGCGGTTCTTGTACCAAGGCGCGTCGTTGCCAAAGTACTTCTCGGTAATGGCGTCGACATCCAAGGCAGCTTGCGCAAGGCGAGCGCCGAGAGGGACCACGGCTAGGGTTGCGGAGAACCTCATCTTGTCAGAATTGGTAAGGCAAGTGGGCTGAT